CGTTATGGATAAAAATTGCTCTCAGTAGAAGATTATCCATATCTGGTACAGCAGCAGCTTACACAGCAGCTTGTAGCAGCTTACACAGCAGCTTGTAGTAGCAGCTTATACAGCAGCTTATAGTAGCTTACACTGCAGCTTGTAGTAGCAGCTTACACATCAGCTTGTAGTAGCAGCTTACAGAGCAGCTTCCTTTCTTCTATAAATAGAAGAGATTTCAGTTCATTATGTACATCAGTTTGAATTCGAATAATATATCAGTTTCTCTCTATACTTGTCTTTACTTTATAGTCTTTATTTCATAACAAACTTGTTATAATTAGATTATTTAAGAATTTTAAATTTGGTCAATCTTTCCTACTATAGCCTTAGACTCAAATGCCCCATTTTCAACAATAAATGCAATTTACATTGGTAACATACTCCATCAAGAAACTATTACTACATAAAAGAGTTTCAAGTATAATGAAAACGATTTACTTTCAGCACATACTTAACTGTAGGAGATTTCGAGGGGCTCTGAAGGAAATGGATGTTCTTTAATTTATTGACTTTTGACTATGAAGATACTGAGGGAAAACGGCAAAAAGAATAGCATAATTATTTATTAAAAGATCAGTACTTGAACAACCAATAAGGAATATGAAAGATTCGGGTAAACTAACAAACTTTTCACTATACATGACAGAGAAGATTGGAATAACAACAATTGAGACCTTTAATCTTACAATAAGATAAATAGGAAAACAGGGAAAATGGACAAAAAGATGAGGAAAATATGACATCTTATCCATGGGGTCCTAGCAACACTGTGAAACACTGCTTCCCACGGGAAAAAAAACTTTAGTTCCTTCGAATCTCGACTTGTTGCTAGCATGATCTTTTTATCAGAGTTGGTTATTATGCTGCAACTCCATGCAGTCTGTAGTACCTCATTAGTATATAAACTGGATGGCTGCTCTCTTTTTGTACGAATGAGTTCAACAGCCACCGAGTGTAACAGCCACTGATATCCTCGGAACTGTGCTCACCACTGCTCTAGGTACATGGCTCTTCTATATGCATTACTGAAAATCTACAAATACATATAAAAGTACATAAGGAAATGTTAACTAATTTACTTAGATTTTAAACACTTAACCAAGAGAGAGTTGTGAACCACATGAATCCATTTGCCATGATGGTGAACTTCAAGTCCTTTGAATGAAGTTACTAAATCTAACACCAAATAAATAATCCACAGGTTCTCCATGCTTAGAACTTATTGAGCTTTGTAAGTGACGTAACTTTAATTTGCTTTTACTTCTTGTATTTTCCATACATACTTTTTCACTAAATTCAAATCATAGGATAAAGGAAACATCCATGACCAGAATATGAAATTGTGATAATTTACTAATAACATGAAATAAGTTTCAACAGTAATTGAGTGTAACCTCATTAGAATTGCCATATCTCATCCCAAGGTTTACCATTTTTAGCAGATTCAATCTTCAAAATTAGGATATCCATTCACCTTGCTATCTCAGATCCTTATAAAAGACTTCTAGCAGCAATTTAATAATTAAGTTAAAAATATTTCGCTAACAATAACTAAACAAACCTGGGCATCAAAATCTCATTGTGTCAAATGTTCACAACTAATCTGACATTCTTTTATCTCTTTCTATAGCTCCGCAATTTTTCTTCAAGCAAAGAAATTTTGTGCTCAAGGATCTGCTCATCATACATAGAAACTCAATATTATCAAATGTCTGATAGTAGTTAAAGAACAATACTTTAAAAACCAAATAAGGAACAGAAAAGGTTGGAAGAGCAATAATTGAGTCTTCGAATCTATAGTAAGATAAATAGGAAAATAGGAGGAACAAAAGCTTTCAAAATATTTGATGAACGGTGAGTTTAAATAAGCTGGATCCATTAATAAACAATAAAATTAATTTTTTTGAAATTGCTGGGCACAATGTTATTCCAATAATCTTCACCTTTTAGGTTATCATTGGAATCTTAGCATTAATTCTTGGGCTAACGAAGAAACAGAAAAAGGAAAAAGAGAAGAGAATAAAGCAATTTACAAAGGCAGATCATAAGGAAAAGAAGACAAATGGATGCGTACCCTAAACAATGATGATTTACTATCCCATAATCTTTTTTAAAATCTCGTCAACAGATTTAACAAAGAAGGTCCACTTGAACAATTAAAATACTTATTAAATATCGAATGAAAACATACTCTAAATCCCATCTCTATGTTAGCTTCTCTGGATTAGGAATTTCCTAGAATATGTTTTCTGTTCTTGCAACTAAAGTGCAAGGATCTTAAATCCCAACACTCTTGCTACTAAAGCAGTGTTGTTAAAGGCGCGCATAAGCCCTAAAGCGAGGCTCAAAACATGTTGAGCGCTTCACCTTGCTTTGCGGGCGCTTTAGTGTCGCATTAAGGCTCTAAGACATACTTTTTCTTGCCAACGAGTATAATCCTGAAAATAAATTGATATTTCACTTTATCGTATTTTTTTTCCAATTATTTTGTCTATATATTTTTTATTCATGCTTATAATTATTGGTCTTGGACTAAATATACATATTTTTACTTTTTATCCAGTTGCGCCTTCTTTCATTAAAGCCCACGCTTTATTTGCGCTTTACGCTTGAAGCCCCGCCGGGCCTTAGAGCCTTTTTGCGCTTTTCGTCTTTGATAACACTGTACTAACGTGCAATGATCTTAAATCCCAGAACTCTTGCTACTAAAGTGCAAGGATGTTAACTGCCAAAACACATTATCATATTTAAAACAAAGCTCTACCATCAATTTGAAAAAAGCATGCTGCAGCATTACCATTATTCTGATAGAAACTCAAGCAAGAACTACTATTGTCGAACTGAAACACATTACTAAAGCTCACACGATACATCTCTAATACAAAAAATTTCCGGAGGCATGGATGTAGTTAACAAAAGAACAGTTGATTTTGAAACGGAAAATTCTCAGCAGCTGTTTGAATATAATACCAGGAAATAAGCTGGGGGCCTCCCCTCAAATTTGTTGGGATAAAAAATAATCTCGCCCAGGAATAATATCCACAGCAAATAATAATAACACAAGAGAGTAACAATGACACCAAATATTTTAGCGGGATAAAATACAATACCCGAGTGGAGCAATATTACCACTATAATATTACAACTCAATAGTGTCAAGAGACTACTACAACTTTGAAAGAAATAACACTCTTTATTTAAAACACTTCACTACAATATTACTACCACTCACTAGTTATCTCACAGACCACAATCTGTGGATTACTCTCACTGCTTTATGCTTCTCTCGTTATTTTGGTGTAATTCAAATGAAGAAACGAGGCTGTTATTTATAGGAAAAGTTTCCTTGTTTTCGGTCAATCATGGCATGCTTTGAAAGTTTGTTTTCAGTCAATCATAGCATGCTTTGACAACTTGCAATTGCAAATTGGATTTGCAAATTGCATCAGAAATGTAGGCGCCTACCTTTGCCTTTCTCTTATCCAATCACGTTTTCTTTTCTCTTTATCATTTGTTATTTTTATTTAGGGACCCTACAAATCTCTCCCTTAATTTTGATTTTTCTTCTTCATTCCAAGTCTTGATCTCAATCTTTGAAAATCTTCAAACTTAAGAGGCTTTGTAAAAATGTCTGCAACTTGATCTTGAGACTTCACATATTTAAGCTCGACTTCTTTCTTGGCAATGCACTCTCTGATAAAGTGATACCGTGTATCTATATGCTTGCTTCTATCATGATACACTGGATTCTTCGCGAGTGCCTGTGCTGATTTGTTATCAATACAAATCTCTGTAGCTTCCATTTGTGGCAAATTGAGCTCCTTTAATAATCTCCTTAGCCAAATAGCATGACAGGTACATGATGTTGCTGCTATATATTCGGCTTCACAAGTCGAGAGAGTAACAATGGACTGTTTCTTTGAACTCCAAGAAATAACAGAATCACCCAAGAAAAATACAAAACCAGTTGTACTTTTTCTATCATCAATATCTCCCGCATAATCACTATCACAAAATCCCACAAGGTTGAAATCATTAGAAGAAGAATAAAATAACCCAAAATCGATCGTACCTTTTAGGTAACGAAGAATTCTTCTAGTGACCTTCAAGTGAGTAGAGGTAGGAGCCTCCATGAAGCGACTTACTACTCCAACTGCAAAAAGCATATCTGGTCCGGTACAAGTCAAGTACCTCAAACTTCCCACAAGACTTTTGAATAATGTGGGATCCACTTTTTCTCCTTCATCAAACTTGGACAATTTTGTCCCACTTTCCATCGGTGTGTTCACGGGGTTGCAATCGAGCATGTTGAACTTCTTCAATATCTCCTTTGTATAGCTTTCTTGAGAGATAAAAATTCCATCCTCCATCTGCTTCACTTCTAGGCCCAGGTAATATGACATGGGCCCTACGTCTGCCATCTCGAACTCACGGGACATATCTTTCTTGAAAGTTTCAAACAAACTTGGGTTATTACCCGTGAAAATAAGATCATCAACATAAAGAAAAACAATTAAGATATCTCCATTAGTATGAACTTTAAGGTAAAGAGCATATTCATGGAGACAACGAGTAAACCCATT